TTGGCTGGCTCCGAGGCAGGGTGGCACATGGCAGAGGGCAACAGTTCATGGCAGCAGAAAACAGCAACAGCTGCAAGAGCAAAAGGAAGGAGCAGCCGTGGCAGGCAGCCTCTTTCCCTCCTTTACGTTGTATGCAGACTACCCGCCCCAGGGGCAAGTGTAGCACTTACAGTCATAATCCCAGCATAGGACTATGGATCAATCAAAAATCTAGAGGCCCACCGCATGACTGCATGTGTCTTTAGAGGAACACTCAGACACAAATCATAACAATAGCCCAGGCTGGCTTTGAACTCACAACAATCCTCCTGCCTCAGCTTCCCAAGTGCTGGGATTACAGGTGTGCACCACCATGCCTAGCCATGCGCAAATTTAATTGATAGTAAAAGTTCTGAAAAGATCAGAAGCCCAGAAAACATCTATAGCAGGTGTGTTTGTTTGCTAGGAATACTGGAACTGTCTGTTTAACAACAGAAATTTAGGGCTTGGGGTAGAATGTGCGGCACAGTCCTCACCTAGCAATCTCGGGGTCCTAGGTTTGATCTCCAGCACCTCTAAAACAGCCTGGCGTGGTGGTGCCCACCTGCAGCCTCAGCTTCTCGAGAGGTCGAGGCAGGAGGATTGCTTAATCCTAGGAGCTGGCAGCACAGCACAACCACAGTTCAATTAAAAAAACAACAACACTAAAAAAGCCAGAAATGCATCGTTTCCCTGCCCTCGAGGCTGAGATCGGGGAGCAAGGTGAAGATTGGATCAGTTTCTTCTGACAAGTGCAAGGGAGACTGTGTTTGCTCCCGCCTCCCCTATTTCTGAAGATCTGCTGGCAGCTTTTGGGGTTCATGACATATAAAGTCACGTCCTGGTTGCTGCCTCCATCTGCACCCGGCAGCCTCCCTGTGTGGGCTGGTGTCCAAATCTCTGCTTTTCAGGAGGGTGCCAGGCATATTAGATTAGGAATCACTCCTCCAGGATGACCTCATCCTCACTACCTGCATCTGCGGTGACTTATTTCCAAATATAGTTGCACTCGGAGGTTCTGGGGTAAGGACTTTGGAACAAATGCAATGCAACCCTTAGGACTAGCATTTCCCACCTTCATCTAGACTTTCTGGGGTTCAGAAGGGTTTGAGGACACTTGATGTGTGCTCTGGAGAACTGCAGCAAGCGCAGCCTCTACCTTTGCGCCTTCTGCCGTGTGACTCCACCAAGTCGGTCACCCACTGCAGTGCACTGTAGGAACCAGGATGCAACCACCCACAGGCCAGCCAAGGGGCAGCTGGCTGACCAGCGGGGCCGCCAAGTGTCCAAGAGAGGGCAGCCTTTGTCTCTGACCTTGTTTGTTTTTCTTCCTGGTGCCGGACGGTAGAAGAAGGCGTCCTGCATCTCACAGGCTGAGCTGAAAAAAGGCTGATTCTCGGTATTCAGGGGCTGGGCCCTTCAGTTTCCCGGACTCAGGAACTGGAGCTGTGGGACAGGGAGGCTCTCACTGCGTGTCTGAGGCATGCAGGTGACAGTCAATCTCGGGAGTATAAGGGAAGTTGGAAGTGACAGGGTCCCACCCCTCTCCTTCCTCTCTCTCCGTGCACACTGGGACGGCCACACTGGGATGCCAAGGCTTTCTTGGGGAAGAAAGGCCCGGCTACAGCTCTTGCTTCTGATTATCCCAAAAGGCAGGGAGGAATAGAAGGCTTTTCATTAAAACTGTTTGCCCAGCTGGCCCTCGACAAATCACAGAATCTGACATGAGGTTCTTATTATTCCGAGGCTGGCTCAAAGGCTGCAGTAGGGAGGCTGTTGAGATATTGTTGGCACAAAGAGTCACATTGAAGGGGACCCAAGCAGTGATATTTCAGTGAGCCCAGAGCATTGGCCAGGCCAGACAAGAAGCGAGGAGCTTGGGTCTGTGAGACAAAGGTGCCACACAGACTGTGATGTTTGAAGTATAAGTGTAGTGGGTTGATAATTGGTGGTCAACTTATAACCCCCAGCTGAACTGAGTGAGTGTGGTGCTGGGTGTGGGAGGCCCACCTGGGGATTGTTGCCAGCAGCATAGGAGGCAGACCTGGAGAAGAAGAAGCGGGCTGTTGGGAGCTGAGAGAGGCTGTGGGGAGCTGAGAGAGGCTGTGGGGAGCTGGCTTTCCTAATGAACTTGGCTGTTTCATCCTCCGAGGAGCTCGGGACCTCGCTGGCACTGAGAATGGCTTCAGTTCACTTTGGGGAGCTCTGGTCCTCACTTTGAGCATCGCTTCCTGGTTCCGGAGGGGAAGATGGTGCACTGCCAGCCTCCAGGAAAAGCTTGCTGTGTTGGTTTCCCTGATGGGAACTCAGCCATCCTGATCATTGGAGGAGCTCAGGACCTCACTGTTGCTGAGGATGGCTGTGGTACCTTTTGGGGGAGCTCTGGTTCTTCTGAGCATCGCTTCCTGGCTCCAGTGCAGATCCCTCAGCCTGCTAGCACAGGTCCTTCATCCTGCTGGCACAGACTTTGTAGATTCCACCACTGACCTTTGGGCCTTCCCAGCAGATCCGTGAAACAGGCCTGCATGAGATGTTGTCGTGGGCTCTGGGCCTCCAGTTGGATTCATGGGAGGCATTGTTATCAGCTCTGGGTATTCAGCTCAACTCATGCACGACATTGTTGTGGGATCCAGGCCCTCAGCTGGATTCCTTGGTCTTAGTGTGTGGACAGATTTCCTGCACTCTTTTGTATACTGTTCTTTGGGTGACTATTATAAATAATCATATGAAGTATGTGTCTTGTATTATATTGTTCCCCTTGCAAAATAAGCCCCAAACCAACACAATAAGAGATACGCACATCTCAGCAAAGGAGTATGTCTTAGGATTTTCTTGACACTTGGAAAAAGCAGATGGAGGACAGAGAAAAGCAGGTGCCTTGGACACGTGGTAAACAAGGAATTCATCAGCCCAGCATATAACATAGGCTTGTGACGTGATAAACAAGTTAGAATCATTTAGATGATCAATAGATGATAGATGGCTGAATTATGAAATGTACATTATGTAGCCACACGAAGGATGAAACAGCTGAAAATGTTCAGTGGAAAGTGACGTAAAGTGACACAAGCTGGAACCGACGCATGAATGGTGACAGGAAATGTGGCTTCTGTGGAGTACTCTACAGCCACAAAGAGTGACATCTGCTTATTTACGGTGAAATGGATGGAACCAGAAGATACTTCATTAAGTCAAATAAGCCAGACACAAAAAGACAAGCACCATGTATACTCTCCCCTATGTGGAGGCTAAAAAAATTCTACCTAAATGCAGTTAGTGATTTCTAGAGGTTGAGAAGAGGAGAGAGGTAGAAAAAGGCAGGCTGGATATGATCAGCACATGCTGTATGCATGTGTAGAAATAGCACACTGAACCCACAAGTATGTACAATTAATTCACTTTCATGATTTTTTAATTCCATAAGCTGGCTTTGCATTGAAGCCCAGTGCAAACTGCCGTATTTACAAGCATGATTTTCAACCTTTAAAGGAGGGCATCCCACCTGCCTCCCACTCTGACATTTTTTTTTTCCTTCTTTACTCTCATAACGACAGGTATCACAGCAAGATAGCGAAAGTGCCACAGCCTTAAGGATAGGAAGATCGGTGTAAATCCCGGTGTGCTTGCGCGTGGGTGTGACCTTCAGCAAATGGCTGGCCTTCATCTGCTCCATAAGGGTGGTGATTCATTCTGGTTTAGGGGAACCCATGGAATCAGTTGGGGTGAGAGTAGCAGAGGAAGGGGAGAGAGAGGAAGAAGGAAGTCACACAAGAAAGCAGCGGCTTGTGAAGGCCGGGACCTGGCCTCAGCAGCCCCAACCCCACCGTGACTCCCTGGCTCTGATGGCGGCCAGGGCAAGGGCGGGGGGTGCACACAGGGCCTGCTGTGACGGGAGGGCCGCCTGTTCGCAGGTGTGCAGCCGCACAGGAAGCTCTGGGGGGCCCCCTAATCCTAGGCCTCCCACGGGAGTGGAGGAAATTCTACCCTTTGCTTTCCTTTCATGAAGACTGAGGCCCGGTTCAGAAGGCCCTCCCTCCAAGAGGGAGATTTGAATGAAAAAAGGTAAAAACAAGAGAAAAGGAGTCCCCCCAGCAGGCGCCAGCCCTCACCCTACTCCCTGCATCCTCCCCAGCCCCCCAGCCCTGTGGGGTGCTCTCCCGCTCTCGCCAGAGCACCTGCTGAGTTTTCTAGTCCTTCTCTGGTGCAGGGACCAAACCCAGGGCCTGACCCCTGCCAGGCGAGGGCTCCACCTGCAGCTGCACCCTGGCGTGGTGGTTAAACGTCCTGCTGAGCCGTCCATGCAGAGCCAGCAGCCGCCCTGAAGGACACACGCAGCTCGTGTGAGCCCTCCGTCCAGTGTGCCTGTGACTGCCCCGTGTGGAGCACCGAGGGCCCCAGCCCCAGTCACTACTCAGTCCCGCATCACCCCAACATGTCATGGAGGTTTGCCCAGCTTTGGTATTTCCTTCCCTGCGGGACCTATGGGACCCTCACTTTCCACGCGGGGTTCCTCTTGGAGGGTGCTGCCTGGAGCCCCACCATGGCAGAGGGCTCCTAATGCGACCTTGCTGTGGCTCCCCGCCAGCCAGGCCTCTCCGTCACTCCACCCAGGCTGGAGGCACGACAGGGGCTGCTTCACTGGGCAGTTCCATGCCGGAAGTGTGCCTTTGCCTCCCAGGGTCATCCACGGGCAGAGACAGGAAGCACAGCCACAGGCAAGGGTGGACCCGGACTTAATCCCGGGTCTGAGCCAGGCGTAGTGGTGTGTGCCTGCACACACAGCACTCTGAGGGGCTGAGGCAGGAGGATCACAAGTTTGAGTCCAGCATTGGCAATCTAGCAAGACCCTGACTCAAAATGAAAAGTAAAAAGGAGGCAGGGTGTTAGCAGGTAGACATCAGCGGGCCTGCGGGGTAAAGAGGGGTCCAAAACAGCACGCTGTACCAGTTATAGTTAAATGAAGAAACAAAGACCTCAAGACATGACAACGTACAATCGTTTATTAGATCTCAGACCCAGAACACAGGGTCTGGGTTTCTAGAACAAGGCCCACAGCGTTCCTAGTTGCCACAGCCTGCGGTCCAGTGATACTGGGAACAGGGATTCTTTAAAGACCCCTCTTGCCTTGGGCTAAGAGTTGATTTAGATTAGAATTTATCTTTCATAAACTTCTTTTGCAACTTTCTTACATGTGTGAGGCCCCTGAAAAGAACCAGGAAGATATTCGAGAACTCCACAGTAAGCTCTAAGAAAATTGGCCCATGAGAATCATAATCCCACAGTTCCCTGGAGCCCAGGAGTAACTCTCGTGTGCGTAAGAAGATGCCCAAACTCACACGGGGCCCACGCCTGTGGGGGGCCGCTCGCCCTCTCATGTGAAGGTGTAACTCTCTCTTTATCTGCTTCAAGGCAAACTCTATCTCTACTTCCGCATGGCCGCCCACGTGTCTTAACTGAGCAGAAGACACGAAGGATTGAGATGTTGAAGGTTGTTTCCTCGAGGTGTCAGGACCTGGTTTCTCAGTGGCACTGGGAATGTAGGTCCGTGGAGAGACCCCAGGTTCCATCCCAGGACTGCAAAAAACAAACACTCAGATCCGGCAAAGCCCAGAGTCCCTTAGTAAGACCTGTGATCCTGCCTGGCCGGTGAACACGGTTGCCCAAGGAATCTCTAAAACGTCCAGAATCCTCCACCCCAGGGCCTTGCACATGCTGGACAAGCCCTCTGCCGCTCAGCTACATTCCCAGCGCAGCTATCTTTTCAAAAGCTCTCCAGGGGGTTCCCAAACCTCACCTACCTCCACCTGCCCACTGAGGTCCATGGAGGGCCTGGACCTTTGAGCCAGAAGGGTGGAAAGAGTCAGCCTTGAGCAACTGCAAGTGTACTTTGTCTTCATCTGTTTTGTGCTGTGGGAACAAAACAAACAGGCCGGGACATTTATACAGAGGAGAGATGTATTTCTTTTTCTTTTTTTTTAAACTTCTTTTTGTTTGTTTGTTTGTTTGTTTTCCCAGTACCGGGAATTGAACTTGTGACCTCATGCTTGCCAGGCAGGCGCTGTGCCGCTGAGCTAAATCTTACAGTCCTGCTGGTGAGGAAGCCCGAGATCGGGGTGATTCTAGAGACGCCCTGCTTGCTGCCTCCTCCTCCTGTACTGGAGGCTGAAGGGCCGGACAGCATGAGACTGAGGGACAGGAAAGGGGCCTGAATGCGTCCTCTCCCTGGGGACCCTCTCCCGGGATAACTAACCCACTCCCGTGCTGACTCCACTGGCCCATTTTGGTGGGCGGAGCCCTAGCGACCTACACACTTCTTAAAGCTCCCACCTCTCACCGCTGTTGGTTGTGCTGGAGATTAAGTTTCCTTCCAACACACAAACTTTAGGGGACACATTTCAGCTCTCGAGATTGTTCTGCAGCTCTCTTCAGCTCACTCACCGTCACTCAGTTCACACATCTCCTCCTCAGACCGGTGAGGTCAGGAAGCTGGCAGATTGCAACGACAGCTGTTGGTAACATTCCCGGCGCTGGAAAAAAAAAAAAGAGAAATGTGCTTCGGGGCACCTGGATCTTTTCTCTGGGTGCTGCTTGAAGGGATGGCCCTTGAAAATAATCCAAACTCTTAGGCCCATAAGAAATCCAGAGTAAGGCTGGGGGTGTCACTCAGTGGAGAGCGAGTACCTAGCTTGCACAAGGCCCTGCATTTGATCCACAGCACTGGAAAAAAAAAAAAAACAGTAAGTGCCTTGGTCCCCCCAACTAAAGAACATTTTTTCTCGTTCTTCTTGTGACGATATCAATGTTTGACTGCCTTGGAAATGTTTAGGGCAGCTTGGAATACATTTGTACCAGTAATGGCCTAGGTCATTGTCAGATGGTTCAGAATCTCAGGCCAGAATTTCCCAAGAATCTCCCTTAGCTGCAAAATCAACACATCTTGAATCCTTTCTTTAAGTCCAGGGAGCGTTTCTTTAATGTTGCTTAAATTCTTTTAGTTGTAAGATAGGGAGTCTGTTGTCTTGTTTATACTACTAAAAATATATTTCTTAACCCAAATGGGAGGAAGAAAAAGGGGCTGGCTCTTGCCATCTTGCTGCTCTCTTGGGTCTGTCTGCCAGGGCTCCCCACCAGCAATTAATCTGCATGGACACCTGGATCACCCTGCCTATAACTTGCACAGCTTGGACGCCACTCCTTGTCCAGCGCTGCCCGGGGTCCTCCTGCCCATGTGCTCTTCCTGACGGTCCACACGGTAGTGTACTGCATGTGCTGTTCCACTCCCAGGCTGTCACAGTACCTGTCACACCGTCACATGCTGAGTACTGAGTCCCAGTGAGGTTCATTGCTGACCTAACGTCACTTCACTAACTTTCATCAAAGCCCTCAGTGGGCGACTTCCCGAAGATGCCTCTGTTGCCTGCCGTCCTGGCTTCCTGGGAAGCCTTGGGGTCCTGCAGCTGGAGTCCTTTGGTCACAGGAGCAGTGAGCTGTGAGTCTGTCTGCTTGGCTTGACGTCTTGCACTAATCTATGACTCATACTTCCTTGGCGTGCTGCACTGTGCATGAGCACGAATCAGATAGGACACCAGCCTTCCGGGAAGCCTCCTTTCCCCTGAAGTGAGAGCAGGGCAACCACCGCCTCCTCAGGGGTGTGGCCCTCCTGTCACTGGCATGGACTGCGCCCCACAAGCCTGTTGGATTCTGAAAAGCCCATAGTTCACACCGCGGGGCACTGTGCCCACTTCCGCAGCGCCACGTGACCCTGCGAATGATAAAGAGACTGCGCGAGTCACTGCACACTCGGGTAGGGAAGGCGGAGACTCTCCCACTCACCTTTCCCTCCAGATAACCTGAGTCCTGTCTGCAAAGCAGGCTTCTCTTGGTGCTGGCTGGCCGTGGGTCCCCTGTGGGGCTGGTCCTGACAGCATTCAGCAAACAGGATCTGCTTGCCCTGTTGGTGGCGGAGCCATGCCAAGGGATTAGTGTGGTGGAGTTACGATGTGACAGCCGGTCTAGGGGCCTCTGCAGCGGCCAGGCCTCCGAAGTGCCTGAAACCCTCCCCTCCAGAATGTCCCCTGGCACCTTCCTCCTCCGGTCCCCGCCCACGGCTCACGGCCTAGTGGTCTTAGTTCTGGACGGCAGCCTGCCCTTCCTGCCTGGACTCTACAGAGGCCAAAGGACACAAAGTCCCTGCAGTGGGTACAGTGTCGTTTTGAGGCTGGGCTCCTCTCCCTGGATTCTCTAGGGTAGAAGGATTTTAATAAAGATCCCCCTTCCCAGGGCCACAACCCCAGGAAGGGGAAAGGGACTCAGGGAAGAAAGCCGCAGAGTGCTGCATTTGAGCCTCCCGTGAGCTCTCTACACATAGAAGGACGCACGCGGTGACCTGGTCCAGCAGCCTCGTCACACTGCAGAGGGACGCGAAGTCCAGGCAGGGGAGGTGTCTCCTCCTGTTCTGCACAGTTAGCTCTTGGCTGCTTCGGAGCTGGCCCTACGTCTGCTGCTCCCAGGCCCCATCTGTGCAGCTGACTGTATTTTCTGTACAACCATGACCAGTGTCTCAAAATACTTATGCAGTGACTTGATTATTCCGCCTTCCCTCCACCCACACATCCGTCAGGCCGTCAGCCCTTTGGGACTCTGTTTCTCTCATCCCCTCTGCATCCTTTGGCCTGAACGTGTCTGGCACACAGTAGGACCTCAATAAATATTTGCTGTTGATTGACAGATGGGCTGTGTCCGGCGCCCTTTGCGTGACTCTTACCTGCTAAACCAGAGATACGCTTAGGTACGGAGAACAGCTGATCCGCACTAGGCGCGGAGGGCTGGGGCTGGTTGTGAAGTAGACAAACAAGGCGAGCAGAGCTGTGAATCACTCCCTGTGCCCCTGCCTTTGGCACACAGAGAGGTTACCTCACCCAGCTCCGGGCAGGAAGGATGGCTGGATTACTCACCTGTCGAGAGTTCAGCCCACTGCAGGCTCCCTACAGATGTCCATGAGGCCATGCTGAGGAACCAAAGCCATCGTACAGACCAACCCAGACGTATGACCTACCAGTATGTGCAGACAAGCAGCCCTCAGAGGTGTACGCATCCCGCGAGCACTGTGCCCGGCGGGCATCCCCGAGACGAGGGTTCGTTTTGGGGTGTGGTGTTCAGGGAAGGGGATTCTTACTTTTGTACAGTGTAAATTTTTGAAGCAAAAACTACTATAAATAATCTTGTAAAAGAAATTCTCCCAGAGAATCCAAAGTAGTTGTGCTGCCCTCCTGTCCTATCTCGTTCCTTACATGTTCTCTTTCTTTCTTCTAAGCTTACCAGGGCTGTAGATAGAGCCAAGCATTTAAAAGCCCGGCTCAGGCCGCAGCCAAATGGCTTTGGATGTTTACAGATCCCTGAGGAATGAGGTCAAAGGTTTCACTGGCCAAAGGGCCACATAGCCTACTCGCTTCCTCAGACACAGATTGCCCCCTTGTCCCAGACCCCCACTCGTCTTTACAACCTGCGCTCCCAGGCCCCAGTTTAGCAGCTAAATGACACAGTCCTTGCCTAGCAGCAAACGGTATACGGGTGACGCATGAAGAGGCAGCTCCCCAAACTTTGGGTGGCCGCTGAATTCCCTAGGGCCACCTTGGCTGTGACTAGCAGCCCCTGGAGACTGCTGGGGTGCACCTGCAGCGAGGCAGGGGAGGGTGGGAGAGCTCGGGGAGCGGGAGGAGGAGTGAGGGGAGGACACTCAGCAGTGCCGCAGGACAAGCTCCCTCTGAGGAAGCAGTCAGTTTCTCATATCGCTACTTAAAAACAGCAGCACCGGGGTCAGGGCGGGCACTGACAGCTCCCTAAGCGAAGATCCACAGCTCTGAGCTCCTCTAACCAGGCTGGCCAGCCAGGCTCCTCTGCTCCTGTTCCCACAGACTTGGACCTCTTTCCGGAAGGCCCCGGGGAGTCAGAGCGCTACAGATTGAAGGGGGTGTCGCCAGGAGGGAAGGGACCTGAGACGCCAGCGTGGGCACTGTTTCCCACTTCTGCAGGAAGCGGGCTGCATCCCTGCGTTTTCCTGCTTGGACTGGGGTGGAGGAGTCGGAAAATCTAGAGCTGAGGTGCTAGCAACCCCCAAACTGTAACCCCTCACGCTTCCCTGACAGCTGCCACGGAGCCTGAAATGCCAGTTTGGTGACTGGGTGGAGAGGAAATTTCTCTTTGGCAAAGTGAACGTTGAAGCAGCAGAAAGATAATTGTTTCTTCCTTGGGTCACAAGGCTTCTTCAGTGTGACACAGTCAAGATTGTCTTGGTGAAGCCTGGCGTGATGGCAGACACCTGTAAATCCAGCCCTCTGGGAGGCTGAGGCAGGAAGATTGCAAATCGGAGCCCAGCCTGGGCCGCTTAGTAAGACCTTGTTACAAAAGAAAAAGGGATTGCAACGTAGCTCAGAGTGAAGGCTCTGGGTTCAGTTGTCATCCTGCTTCAGGTTCAGGATGTGGGAAAAAAGCATTCTCATCAGGGCTCACTTTGCAGGAGTCCCAAAGGGGAAGAGAGAGAGAGGCGGGGGAGAGAGAGAGGGAGAGAGAGAGGGAGAGAGAGAAGGAGGGGGACAGAGAGAGACAGAGACAGAGAGACCCATGAATGCAGGCCGCAGCCCTCTATCCCGAGGCGAGGAGAGCCAGGAACCCTGGGTGACCTCCCAGAGCCTCCGAGGGGAAGGCGCGTGACTGACTTTCGGGCAAGGTGGACTGGCCCCGCCTGGTCTCTGGGACATGACTTTGGCGCAGGCCGTTTGCCTCAGTAGACTGGGGACCTGGTGCTGCGTGCTGTGCCTCCATCACTACCCTCTGGCACCGCGGAGGACTCGGTTCCTCTCCGGTCATCGGGACCATACGTTCCTGCACACTTCCACAAGCCTCAGTCCAGGGGCCCCACGCCGCCCCCACCTCCATGCTGACAGTGCCCTGGCCCCTGGTCTCCACCTGCTGGGCTACCTCCCGCCCTGGGACTAGAGCCTGCCCACACTGGGACCAGGGCAGAGCCATCACCCAGCCAGCCCTCAACACCTCCAGACCAGCTTCCGGCCCACAGGTGGTTCTGGCTGCCCTCCGCTTCTGCTCTCTGGCGACTTCCTGCCCCCAGGGTACTGTCCACGCAGCCCCTCCTATGCCTTCCTCCCTCCCTCCCTCTTCCTCTCTCCCTCCCCTCCTCCTTCCTTCCCACCCCCAGCACCCCTACCCTATACACCCTCCCCTCCTGTTTCCTGTCCTCACCACCCCTGCCAACATCCACCCATCCATACCTTCTCTGTCCTGCTGGACCAACGACTCTCCCCTCTGCCCCCAGGTTGCCATGGTGATTTTTTCCTTTCTCTCCCTTTTAAACTCTTCTCTCTATTATGACTTATCGCCACATCCTCTCCGTGTTGGACGGGAGCTCCTGAGCGCCCGCCGAGCCCAGTCCTGTGCACCTCTGACACTCCATGCCAGAGACAGGAGAGAGGGAAGAGGCAGGTACGAGGTCAGATGCTACACCCGCGGTCAGCAGCTTCTCAGAAGCAAAGACTGCCCCTGAGGGTAAGGCTGGGGCTGGGTGAGCCGGGGGTGCCCATTCTCAGGGCCCTAGTGCAGTCACCCCTGGACGGTGCCACCAGGCACCTCTTTTCTTGTTGCAGTCCCAGCCGGGCCCTCCCAAGGCTCCTTCCACCCCGCCTGAACTCCCTTCCTGATTTATAAACTCATAATTGTTTGCCAGGCACCTACTGCCCCAGCTCTGTCTCACCATTGGGCGTAGTACAACTCTGGTGAGAAAAGCACAATGCCCGCCCTCCCAGGACTTGGGGTCTAGGGGAAAGGATGGGTGATCGAAAGGATCCAAGTCACATTCATTTATAGTCACTAAGCAGACTATAAAAGGCACATGTGGCTGTTAACACAGGAGCCAGTGAAAAATAAAGTGCGCTTCCCAGAGAAGAATCTAGAACCAGGGCCAAACAACTCAGCCACAATGGCTCTTGCTCAGCAGGCCTCTGCCCCCCACCTCAGAACCCTGCGTCTGTGCTTGGCCTGGCCCCTGGAGCTGTGGGGCAGTGCCCAATAGTGACATCCAGTATACGTGCACTTCCTGGGGTAGCAGGCCCCGAGGAACTCCGGGAGGTGGTTCAGGGGATGGGTGTGCAGGTGTTCGCTACAGTGCTCTGTGTGGTAATGCGACCTATTATATAAGTAGCACAGGTGTCCGGCAACAGGGGAATGAAGAACAATGTGGTGGCCACATAATAAAGAACTATAATGACCCACTAAGTATTAACAAGGTAGACATACACACAGCAACATAAAGAGATAATACAAGCAGAGTGCAGGGTAAAGGAGCAGAATGAGAGTCATAGCACAATATTGTCCATGTAAATTAGAAGCACACCCAGGCTGAGGCAGGAGGATTGCTGTGATTTTGAGCCCAGCCTGAGCTACACTGTGAGAACCAATCTAAACTATATAGCAAGACCCTGTCTCCAAAAAAATAGAAATAAAAATAAACCTAAGCCCCAAACTGTGCTACATATTTTACAAGGATAAATCCATATAGAGATGTGCAGAT